TATATGATACTAGTAAAATTGTTAACCATGCATGTTATGGATTTTTTTATTATTTTTATAATGTTTTTTTTATTTTGTTTATTTTATTTGTATTATTATGTGTGAAGAAAGAACACACACACACACACACACACACACACACACACACACACACACACACACACACATATATATATATATATATATATATATATATATATATATATATATATGCATTTTTGGACCGAGTTGGATGCTACACGGTAATCAGGTTAAACAGGTATCCTTCAAATTAATGTGGAATACGTCTTTAACTAAACTCATAAACTTAATAAATATACACTAGGGGATTACCCCCAATCTAACTTTGCCTTAGATTAAAGTACATTCATATCCTGCTAAATCATAATAAATACATCTAGGATAACAAAGTTCAAGACTCTAGCTGTATATAACCTTTATAAATGTTTATCTGAATATAATTAATAATCTTTTAATTTAAATCTCTAACCTTTTAAAAATGTTCTGAACCAGACACTTTTTAATATTATTTACAGAATTTGTTGAATGAAATATAGGTGATTAACCCCGATCTAACTTTTCCTTAGTTTAAAGTACATTCATATTTCGCTAGTTATTAATAAATACATCTCTAGATATAAATATGTTTCTCTGAATATAATTAATAATCATTTAATTCAAATTTCTTAGAAATTAAAACGTAAATTTCTTGGTTAATTATATAAAAAGCTCATGAAAATGTTTTCGTTAATTTCGAAATCGTTAATGTTCTCTTTTAATATTATTTACAAATAATTTGTTGAATAAAATATGTCAGAATAGTAAATTTGACCGTTGACAGAAACAGACGGGATTGTTTCAGATTCACAATAAACTAACTACACTTTAAGCCCTTCCACGATCCTCAAATGACATACTGCGGTCAGTATGTTAAAATAGCTCAACATTGTCTATCTTTTCCCACTCTCTAAAGATAGCAATATTTTTTTTTTATTTTTAACTCGGAATATTTTTTCCATTTCATTTGTGATTTGTTTCTAGGTCCTGAAAATTGAGAGTTGCTGTTTTAGAGCTCTCATGAAATAAAAAATTATTATCTATGAGATTTTAAGTGTTTGATATTCTTTATATATATATATATATATATATATATATATATATATATATATATATATATATATATATATATGCTGAAATCTCCCATCGCTTTCGACGTATGAGGGCTAAGCAGCTCAGTTCTTAGAACCAAAAGCCAGACCATTCGCACATATCATTTGGCTATTGCAGGGAAGGCTTGTGCAGAAGCAACTACACTTTCTGGAAGAGCTGAATACGCAGGTTTTAAATTCAGAGTTGTCTTTTTCCTAGACCGTTCGCCACTCAAGGCTATAGATCCAAGTCTGTGCTATTTACCCTTAGCTGGTGATGAAGATAGATTCATACCTCGACTGGAATTTGATCTATCTATCTATCTATCTATCTATATATCTATCTATATATATATATATATATATATATATATATATATATATATAAGAAGAGTTTAAAAATGGTTTGCCTGATCCACAACCCAATTTCTAACAAAGTATTGGATTTTTCATACGCTTTTGATAGACCTGAGAACCTTTCAATAGCCATTATATATATATATATATATATATATATATATATATATATATATATATATGTGTGTGTGTGTGTGTGTGTGTGTGTGTGTGTGTGTGTGTGTGTGTGATATGTCGTGGTCGCATGTTGACAGGAGTCTAAATTATAAAGTCATACAGATTCAGAATTATTCTTTTTTTGTTGCCAACCACAGCTAGAGAACCCTGTCTTTCTTGCTATTATCCCACAATTGGAAGAATAAGAGATAGATTCCTACCTTCTGCATGGGTATTTGCAGTTTAATATGCGTGCATTCATACGTGTATTTATGGTTTTTAATGATAAACCAGATGCTTTCGAGTGGATTAATATCTGCAGTTTGGGATCCATTTCACTCACTTCTTTGTTTGTTTTATAAGATGACCACTAGTCAGAACTACAGAATATGAAAGACTATAAATATAATCTTTATCTTAAAGTTTCTTGGTTTTCACCAATATGACTCAAAAATTACTATGATTACCCATCTATCCGTTGTCTTTTAAGTTGTTTTCCATGAAGGGGGCCTAACCTCAAGGCCAACCACTAAATCAGGCCAATATAGCTCTGAATTCATCAATAATAATAACTCTTGAGAAATAAGTTTTCATGTACTTTTTAACCGCATTTCTCTGCTTTTTATGTTTACTGAAAAAAGGTTGTTTCATATCTTCTGTCCATATTCATATCTCCATTCCATATTCATATATCCATTCCATATTCATATCTACAGCCTATATTCATAATATTCTGTAGCATTTCCATGTTTCCATTCCCAGAATCATTTTCTTCAAATATCTTCTTGTTGGAAAATGCGCTTCCCTTGCTTATTCCATTTTAACTTTTCTCAAATGTTTATTTTTTTTATTTTTTGACATGTTTAAAGCCCATTTCCTTTCGTTGTTCTTATCAATAGTTTCCATTTCTTTTTCAATTTTTCTCTGATCTTTTTTAAAGTTTTTCGCAAGGTCTAAACTTTGTTTTTCTATCACTCAATAAATTTACAATATTTTGTTTTTCTTTTGAGTTTAGATCTTTCTTAAGACTCGTCACAATATTTGAGTTTAGATCTTTCTTAAGACTCGTCACAATATTTATATAAACTTTATCGTCTGCTCCAAAATACTTCGCGGCAAGCAAGAACGTTATCCGAGTAGGCCTGGGTACCCTACTTCTGTAATTTATCCCAAGAATCTTCTTCTCATAACAGGAAGAAGCCGACTCAATCCGCCCAGGGTGAATGCCGCATCAGTACCCAAAATACTTAGATATGAATACGTTCGGCGATCATTCGGCTTTCAATAAATCGATTAACATGTTAGAAAAACAAGCCCCTGTGGTTAAGAAATTCTTGTATACAACAATTTCTGCTATAAGTAAACAATATTTACTTCAAATCGGATTAATTTAATTTTTAAATTTGCTAATTTTCCTCAAATAACGTTTCAGAAATATATATTTTATTTTTGTACGATTTTTAAATCCGAAAATTAACTTGAGTTTACAAATGGACGTTTTTGTCGATTTTACTGGAAAAAAAATCATTTCCGATCAAAATAATTTCTGTTTGAAATACACCAGAAAGTATTTTTCTTACTAGAAATAATAAATCGTAAATCCATGAGTTTTCAATTAAATCTAAAATGAAAGCTTTATGAAATCTTTTTTTTTTAATTTTTTCTTTATCATTTTTAAAATTTCCTTTTAAACCTTACGTATACCGAATTTGTGGAGGTATCTTCACAAATTGTTTAATTTAAAATTTTTCCATTTTCCTCTAGTCGTGAGAATGGGGTATTTGAAGGGGCCTCAAAAGTAAAATAGCCTATGGCCTCTCTTCATTTAAACCCGACCCAGCATAATTACCTTTATTTAGAGATGGGTTTTATGAACGCTTTCAGACACACAGATACACACACAGACGCATACATGCACACACACACACACACACACGCGCGTGTGTGTGTGTGTGTGTGTGTCCGAGCGCAAATCCATATATGCTTATACATATGTAGCTGTGCTTACACACACGCACCCGCGATGGCATACATTCTACACATATGCACGCACATATACAGACTGAAGCACGCACTCACACACGCAGATACGCGCTGGCATACACACACATACGGACGTGCACACACATCTACACGCATGCACACGCTAGCATACATTCTATCGAACACACCCTTGCACGTACACACGCACGCGCGTCCACACCACACAACCATGCGCATGCATACATGCACTTGTTCAGTGAGCTTCACACATGAGATGAACCTATCTCTCCCTCTCTCTTATTACTCCCCTTCTCTCTCTCTCCCCATCCCTCCCTCCTTCTCACTCTCTCTCACTCTTTCCCTCTCTCTCTTTCTCTCTCTCTCTCCCTCCCTCCCTCTTGCTCTCTTTCACGCTCTCCCTCTCCTTCTCTCGCTCTCTCTACCTCCCTCTCACTCTCCTTCTCTCTCTATTTCTCGTTCTCTCGCTCTCCCTTTCTCTCACCCTTTCTCTTGCATTCTGTCTCTCCCCGTGTACTGTCGTAACATTGCAATAACATAATAGACATGACTGGCGATGGGACAGTTTGGATGAAGACTTACTTTCACACAATTTTTTTAAGACAATGAAATTGACAATACAATACTTGTTTATATTATTCCTTAAAACGTGTGACATGGGGGTGTTTTGTTTTAATTTTGTGTGTGTGTCTGTGTGTTTGTGTGTGTCTGTGTCTACGTGTATGTATATGTGTATGTATGTATTCGTGAATCTGTCTGTGTATGCGTTTATCCGTCTGTGTGTGCGTGTTCTGTGTGTGTGTGTGTCAGAACGAATTTATGACTAATGAATTTATATTTCCCTTCAGACCATCAGGTAAAAAAAAAAGCAACACTGCTAAGAAGCATAAATAAATGACAATTAAGCAAATATATTAATCACAGGTGATAGATCGATATTTTCGGCATTGATCTGATACCTTTGATCTCTGGTGTGCGTCGTCGTGATCCGAAATAGAACCGCGCCCAACCAATGCTGGTGACAACATTCGACAAAACAGAAACGCGCACTTTAATATGAAATGTTACAAAGCAAAACAAAAAACAAAAAAAAAAGAAAAGAGAATAAAAAATAGATAGAAAACAAAATCAATTGCAAATGTTGATTGTGAGAGATCAAAACGTAGATCAACAGAGTGAGATATCCAAAAGATCAATGAGATGTGACGGGAGCTTCTGAAATAATTGATGTTTCTCTTAGCTTATTGTTAGCTCACTGCAGAATTCAGTTTGAAGCTGCGGGAATTCACGGCATGATAAAAAGGAATTGACAATGGTAGGTAAAATACTTATCAGAAATTATTGCAGGTATGTGAGATAGATAGATAGATAGATAGATAGATAGATAGATAGATAGATAGGAAAACACTGAAATAGATGTGAACAAAAGAATGTGAACAGAAACAGAGAAAGAGAGAGAGAGAGAGAGAGAGAGAGAGATAGATGAGCAGAGACAGAATATATAAATATAGACAGATATATGAACATACATACATACATAAATACATAGATAATGACCACAACTGAGATAGATAGATTTCTGTGGGCTACAAAATCGGAATTTAATTTAAATATCGAACTGACTCAGGTTTAACGCAAGAGATCATAGAATTTACAAGTAGACGAAAATACCGACCACAACATGAATCGGTTCGTTTCCAATAATATAAAAAATTCGAAAAGAGCGTTTGCATGTCATTAGTAATCGAAGTGGAATCAGGAACATCGATTCAGATTTGAAAAAGAACAAAATTATTCTCTGCTTATTTGATTTTCAGGTGTCATCTTTTTTAAAATGATTGTTCACAATCATTTTGGACAATATATTTTATGCATGAAAAATTTATCTACAAGAAAAAAAGTTCTTGTATATAGATAGGTACACAGTTCACCTGTGTACCTATGTCTATGGAAATATATAGAGAGAGATAGAGAGAGAGAGAGAGAGAGAGAGAGAGACAGAGAGATGGAGAGAGAGAGAAAGATGGAGAGAGAGAGGTGGAGAGAGAGCGAGATGGAGAGAGCGAGATAGAGAGAGAGGATGCTCCATATTAGTTTCGCCCGGATTCATTCATAATCACCCTTTTTACGTACGAATAGTACAAAAGTTATATTTTATGAATGACTGAATATAAACGAGTTTGGTTCTCGCCATCGGAATTGAGTATGAAGCACTCGAGTTTTGTTACCAATTTGCTTGTTTCTAGATTGCGATGAGAACAAAAACCTGATTGATTTTGATAAATTTTGACACAATTTTCAGAAAGACAACTTTCTCTGGAAAAGTTACTGGGCACTCTATGCAGGATTTGACAGAAATTCTTTCAATTTTCATACAATCCGTTCATACAATCCGGAAAAAAATCCAAGATATATATATTGAAAAAAACTGAGAAAACTAAAAATACTGTTTCGCTGGCACCAAGTCTCTTCAAATCGATATACGAGCTGAGCATCATTATGTGTTTAGGTGTTCATCCCTACAGAGATTCCCACGTGATATTCAGGCTGGTGCACACACAAAGCAACATACGAACACAGACCCGCATATATACGCATGTATAAATAAACATAGATCTTTTGACAAGCATCCATAAACAGATATATATATATATATATATATATATATATATATATATATATATATATATATATATATATATATATATATATATATATATATATATAATCGCACACAGGTTCATTTGCACGCAGAGGCAACGTTGCCCGCAGATACGCAAGCACTAATTATGGATAGATGGTTTTCTCTCTAAAGAGCAAACGTGTTTGTCGATTGCCGTATTTTCTGTTTTTATTGAATCTGTCTTCCTTGACTTTCATTTTGTCGGTGAAAGATTAATTGGCCGATAATAAAATCCTAAACAGCCGACACCACATCAAAAAAGCAAATAAGTATTTGCCATAAAGCGACACAGGTAAAGAGACGCTGCAATTAGGTGTAGATCTACGGCCACTCAAGTGCTGTTTCGGTAAATAGCTACTCAGCGTCGTCTCAAGTCGTAAGATCAAAACGGAATCAGATTCACGACACAATTAAATGGCCTCAGAGATTAACCACTGCTTTACGGCAGGAGAACATTTACCTAGTTTTATTCGGCTAAAAGATTACAATAATGCAGTACTCAGGATCGAACCCAATCCAACAAGAATTGTCTGCTTGATTATTTTAATAATTATCGCTTAACAAGAACAGAGGTACATGTATATATCTATATGTGTCCATGGAACACGTGAATATATATATATATATATATATATATCAGACAAAAAGAATTTTCAATTACCAGTGTTTCTGTTTCTTCGTTTTCTCTCAATCTCTGACGAAGCTTTAATATAAGTGAAACATGTTAGATTGATATACGTTACTGATTTGTTCTTTTATTTTATCATCCTGTCGGATTCCGATCCATATTTGATCTTTAACTCAGATATATAGGGATTGAAAAGACAGACGACTACATGTATTGTCTGACGAAATATTCCTCTCATGAGGTAAAAAAGAATTTTTTTTTTGTTATCCATTATATTGCTCTGTACAAATAAAATACACCGAGCTCTCTTTTTGCGGATCAATTTTAATATTTTTATTTTACACAGTCCCACTTGGATTATACACCAACGGAATTTATTTTACCTTGACTATATATATATATATATATATATATATATATATATATATATACACACACACGCGCACACGCACACACACACACACACATATATATATATATATATGACAAAAGGTAACAAGAAAATAAAATAATAGATTTCTGTGATGTGTAATAATTTTTGTCGAGAGTCCCGATCAGTGACTGAAAGATTAAGAATGACTGAGTCGCTCTTCAATAAGTATTGAACGTTATTATATCTAATTTAATATAGACATATACATATTTATAGAGAGGGGAGAAATAATGAGGGAGAGTGAGAGAGACGCTGGGTTGCTGAAAAGTTCCTCACCAGGCCCACTTCATTATGTTAATGATCCAATATCAGAATACTGAGTCTAACCGAGAACTCCTCAACGCCCCATTATTAGATAGATAGATAGATAGATAGATAGATAGATAGATAGATAGATAGATAGATAGATATGAATGAATGAATGAATGAATGAATGAAATGAGATGGAGAGATTATCTGCGACTTTGATTAATTTTTTTTTCGTTCTCGCGAACAGATCTCGTGAGGTCGAATATTTGGTTGCAAAAGTTCTATGAATTTCTAGCGCTCTCGGCTGCTTCGACTAATCATCATCAATACGACTTTGACGTAGTAAAGTTGACATAACATTCCTCCACTGAGAGAATTCAGTTCCAAGTGTCAAAAAAATACTGTCTTCTTTGTTGTTTTTTTTTTTAGATTTTGTTTTTTTGTTTGTTTTTTTGTTTTTTGGCGGGGTGTGTGAAATGTCTTGCATTAATTACAAAAATAAGGTAAGCAAAAAGTATTTACCCTATATTTTTTTTATTAATGTCCACCTAATACAAGGCCCAAGAAGCACTCCAGGTAGAGGGTTATTTCATGAAGTTGTATTAGCGTATGTAACAGCAAGATAATAGCAAAGATAGACAGCTAATTGATGAGGTCGAGATTTGTTTTTTTTTTTCAAGATTTAGTGAATAAAATGTCAGAGTCCAGGCGGAGACGTTAGGAGGTTAGAGTTAAAATAGACTTTAGAAGGAATCAGAAATCCAATCCCAAACAGAGAACAGGGGATGAACATTTACTCCTGTTCAAAAGATCAGGGACAATAGATAGACCTATATAATGGAAAAGAAAATTAAATATTTGTAAAATATCCTTCTATATTTTACAAGTATTTAATTTTCTTTTTTATTTTCACACACAGATAAACATAGATAGATAGATAGATAGATAGATAGATAGATAGATAGATAGATAAAATTCTTTAGTTTTTATCATGTTCAGGGTTGAGAAATAATGTAATAATGTATTTTGTAATTGAATCGTTTGCCTCACCTTGTCTGGTTCTCTGATTGAACGATCCTGTCATAAGAAAGTTGCATATGGCTGAAACAAAAAGCTGCACCCTGTTGACTATCATGTGGGTGCGCCATCTTTAAAGGGAAATTATACATTTTTAGACGCTATGATGAATATTCTAAAAGAGAACATTATTTTACTAAACAAAGAAATTTACTAACACTTAATTACGAATACCATTTAATCCACGGCTAATTAGTAGTTCAAGAATTTGGTGAGTAAGCTAGTACCAACAAATGTTCAAATATATTTCACTTTTTAATGCAAGAAATCATCTAATATATAAAACCCATTCTATGTTTGTGTCCACTCTAAATCCTAAAATTAAATAAGAACAAAGTTGGTTGCAATTCCGTGTGTGTGTGTGTGTGTGTGTGTGTGTGTGTGTGTGTGTGTGTGTGTGTGTGTGTGTGTGTGTGTGTGTGTGTGTGTTGTTGGGGGGCGTGAGTGTGTGTTTTAGTATCTCTGTGTCTTCGTTTCTGTACTGATATTACGTAAAACCATGATTTCAAATAAATTCAGCCTTATCATTTATATCTAGCTGCATGCGCCTTATATCTCGGTCAACACAACATTGCTTGCTTAATATAGAGAACTAACATATATATTCATTGTTACAAATACATTTTTAAATATTCTTTTGTTATTCATTTTCAGCCTCGTTGGTATTTTCGAATCTTTAGAAATAAAGTTATTATTTGTTATATTTTTATAATTAAATTCATTAATTTAATAAAATCACATTTTCAAGTTGAAAATGGTAACGACATACGCATTTAGATCACGGCTTTGGAGTAAATGTAAGTAATGAATAACCAATGTTGATATTTCTAACAGTAAATTTTAAAAATATAACAAATATCATGAATTATTTTATAACATAGCGGGGATGACATAGTGTACATTGTTTGTGTACACTGTATGTATACACTGTGTGTGTACATAATATGTGTACACTGTATGTGAATAACAAGTGCGTATAACATGTTATATATTAAATAAACAACCAAAATGTTTAAACCTACGAATTGATTTGATACAATTTTACGACATGCATAAATCTCTCAAACAAATCACTGAATAACACACACGCATACACACACACACACACACACACACACATATATATATATATATATATAGATAGAGAGAGAGAGAGAGAGAGAAATATGTAATATCGATTTATCTCCTTTTTAAATCTATAAAACATTCGTGCGTGTAGGTGTATCGTGAAAGGAGAGAGATGTGAGAGGGAGAATGGCTGTGTTGTTTTAATGAAAAGTCGGCAAAATCAAAATGTATTGAGTAGAAACAGAATTAAGACGACGCGATTCTCAGCTGTTTTGCCTGGACAACTTTTCCTTATTGAATGGAAGGGACTTACATTCAAACTGAGAAGGGAGAAAAAAATGACTGAACTTCACAGAAGAGTGAAAAAAAAAGAGCTTTTAGAGTCATTGAGAAAAGAATGGAATCAATTATCAAACTTATACTTTGAGAAACTTTTGCAACGAATGCCAAAAGTTTGTGCTGCATTAATTAAGGATACACGAAGTTATTTTGAAAAGAGCAAAATTTAAACATAAAATGCTTTTTGTTTCTTTTTGACAGAATTAAATTTCCAATAAAAACCCATGTCTAACTTTTTTTAAAAGCATGTATAATAATCTTTTCTTATTTAAAGTACAAAACAATTACTTTTTTGGGGTCAATTTTAAAAATTACCAGGGGTTCCCTCAAACTTTTGGATTCTAGTACACACACACACATATATATATATATATATATATATATATATATATATATATATATATATATATATATATATTAAAAAAAAAAATATATATATTAAGAAAGTAAAAAAGAAAATATATATATATATATACGCACATGTGTGTGTGTGTGTGTGTGTGTGTGTGTATAATAACGAATTTGCATTTTAGCTTTTTAATTCTTACTTGAAGTTTCTATGAACCAATAATTGATCCGGATTTTTGGTAAACCTATGAAGTATACCGGATTTGGATTTTTAATATTAATACCGGGTTTCACAGTGGACATTTAATGGTTTAAATATCGAAGCTGATATGGTAATGTGATAGAATGATACACGGTATTTTTAAGGAATTTAATAACATTTCACGACTAATATAGAATCAAATACATGGTCAAACCAATATACGTATGTGTTTGTGTATGTGTATAGATAGATAGATAGATAGATAGATAGATAGATAGATAGATAGATAGATAGATAGATAGATAGATAGATAATCGGTAAGTAAATGAGAAGAACGTGAACTATGTACATTAAGTAAAAGAAACAATATAACTAAAGATTCAGCCAGATAGATAGATAGATAGATAGATAGATAGATAGATAATGATTAAATTGAGATGCATGCATACATAATGATCCAATAGATAAATAGATAATGATCATCATCATCTGATAGAGAGATAGATAGATTCATCGACACATTTTTTTAATCTTAGAATCGACACTCTCGATAGTAATTTATGAAACATACCTTAGATATGGCACAAGGCCAAATGTAATGAGCCATCAGTGAATATAGAACACACTACTCAGATGTAATTGATCTAGCGCGAATATCTTGCTAAACATTACGTCACGGCGAAGTGCCCACGACATTCTCAATATACGAGGCAATGTCCAAAATTACCCGTACTCTTGTCCAACGACATATTATGGCTAAACTTCAGATAATTTTTGACTTATCCTCGTAGATATAGATAGCTATATCTATAGATATATGTATATGTCTGTCTACAACTACCTCGGTCTCTCTGTTCAATTACCGCCACCCTCACGTGAAACAAGTGAATTTTATCACCGACATTTTAACATGGTGTTTTTTGTGTCATTTCTTTCTCGATCACTTCTCCCGAACGGCGTCCATTTGGTTTGTTTATTGCTCCAGTTTTCCAAAAGCCCGTGTTCCCATATGTACCATTAGCTTGTTCTTTCCAACAAGCAAAGAACATTGATGGGTTTGGCTTGAGATTGTTTCCTTTCGGTGACCTCCTCTTCCTCCCCCCTCCTCCACTTCCCCTCCTCCACCCCCTCCTCCTCTTCCCCTCCTCCTCGGTCAGCGGCGTTCATTTAGCATTTCCAGAATAATTGCTCCAGCTACGCGACATTCTCGTTGATACGGAAGTCCTGTGTATTGCACCCCCAGTCGTTAGGGTTTTGTTAGGTTTCTAGTTGAGACTCTCAGTCAATTATGTCCCCTTGTATTGGACATGACAAGCGACCAGCCACTTTCTAATCGACATCTAAGGCGGTTAAGACGAAATCGATAAAAGGGAAACGAATAGATAGATAGATAGATAGATAGATAGATAGATAGATAGATAGATAGATAGATAGATAGATAGATAGATAGATAGAATAAGAGAGGTGGAGGTGCAAAAGAGAAAGGAAGGTAAACAATTTGACATAGATCTGAACGTAATATGAAAGAAGCAAAGAAGAATATCTTGGCTGGCACTAAACGCCCATAAACGCAGAATGTTTTCAATATCATACATATTTCTAATAAAATAAAAACACTATTTTCCTCTAAGTTGGGTTTTGTATCATAATTAATTTTACTCTTCTTCCTCTACTAGACGCTCAATGTATCCGGTGTGCAATACCTTTTACCCTTCGCCTGAACTTTGCTGAGTTTATCGTCTCTTGTTAACTTGCTACCTTTACTGGTTTTTGTTTTATCATCAAAATGAGCAACGTTTACAATTCTTGTGCAGGACGATTTTCTACATCATATATTAAAGTTTATTTTTTTTGTTTTTTTTCCGACAGTCTCCACTTTTCTTTCTGATTCTGTCCTTGAAAGACATGAAATAAGTCCAGGTTTTTATGACGCATTAGTTAATCGTAGATTACATTATTTTACCTTTCACTTGAAATCGTTTATCCTAGACCTCAGTTAAAATGATTTTATATGCATGTGTCTCACTTAAATTGTTGGTAAACATTATTTTTATAGGCATAAATTGAGATGTTTGTAATTAGATTAACATTTTCTCACACCTACATTTTTAGTAAGGGTGTAATTATTTTCATGAGAAAATTCACTTTTATACATTTTTTTCAAAGATGTCGATTTCGCAACGTAAGTTTTTCTTTGTACAGTTATTTCCATAGTATTTACATTGGATTACATATTCTTAGTTTTGTGAAAATTTATTTAAAATATATACAAGGGTCTGTGTATGCTTTATGCAGATCGTACGTTATTTTGTATAAGAAACTTAAGGATTATTTATAAATATTTCGTGTTATTTCTTGTTTTTAAACTAAACATTAATAACAACTAGAATGTTTGTCGGAATTACATTAATTCTAAGATTCTCCTTCATATTATTTTTTCCAATTTCCTTTGTTTATTCACTTCCTTTTACTTTTTCCTGGTTAACATACGTATACCTGTTGTTTTTCTTACCCTTTAGGTATTGTCCAATGTTAACATTGCTTAACTTCAGTAATGACAATATTAATTACGCAACAGCAGACAGGAATAATGGAGCTCTCCCGAGAAGACGCTTTCTTTCTAGAATATTGGGTTTTGTCCAATAACTGATGCGATAGTCGTTAAGTTGTTCCGGCCGTTCAGACAATTACGAATCAGGATGGGTGTTATAGGCGAGAAAAAGGGAAAAGGGACAATGAGTGAAAGGCAGTAGAGACTGTGGTCAGTTTTTATGGCCGCCTTCGCATTTACAGTGATTAAAAAAGAGCGGACGGGGCCGAGTATTGAGAAAATCAGAAGGGAAAGTGACAATAAATCAGTTTAAACAGTAGAAAGGCTGTAGATAAATGGCTTCTTGAAAAACTCACATGAAAATCATATATGAAAACAGGCGAAAAACTCAGTCGAATAAAAAGATAAATACGAACACTAGTACCTGAGCATGAACCCCTCACTGTGTGTGTGTGTGTGTGTGTGTGTGTGTGTGTGTGTGTGTGTGTGTGTGTGTGTGTGTGTGTGTGTGTGTGTGTGAATAAAGACAAAAGGAAAGCATTTCTTAGCCAACACGTTTCGCCCTCTGAGGGACTTTGTCAAGGCAAATGTAAGGATTATATTTTGTAATAAGTATTTATATACAAATTGTTTTTCAAAGTCTTTCGCTATAGGAACGCTCATAAATGTTCATCAGGTTAACTGAAAAGTCAGGCAAGTTATGGAAGACATGAAGTGATACAATTCAATGTCTAATAAACGAAAGTGTGTGAATTTTTTTAAATTCAAATTAGTATTTAAATTATTTTAGTTATGATTAATTTATGTTTTATATATTTTGAATAACATCGTGTTATGGATTTTATTTTCATTTTTTAGCATTTCATTAGTCATATATGTCGGCTTGGAAAAGTAGTCATTCTTTCTGGAATGTCTATATTGGAAAAAATTGGGGGTGTAGATTTATATTTTGATAAGATTCGATAGAGGCACTTTCGAGAATCTTCCTTCTAAGTGAATTACTTTCTTTTGTAATAAGTGTGGCTTTCGGTCGGTCAAAGTTGTAGTTGAATTTATTTCTGTGTATAAATAATGCATTTGATAAATTGTTGTGTATAAAGCCTCTTTCATGTTCATAGATACGTTTTTTTTTTTTTTAATTTCTGCAAGTTTCCCCAATGTATTTTGAGGAACAATTCTGGAATTTATTCATATATATATATATATATATATATATATATATATATATATATATATATATATATATATACGTGTGTGTGTTTATAGTTTGTCAATAAATATTTCGGAAAAACAACTGATTTTCATTTATATTTATCCCTTTTCATTATTTCAGTATCTTAATTTAATCATATAGATTTAATTTTGTGTTAATCGGAATTCAAATGTGTCAAACATTTGCGTTTAGGGATTAATTTTATAATGGTCACCCCAACACACACTTAAATATAGGCTATAATATGAAGGATGATGTACGAAGAGTTTCTTGGAAGGTGGGAAAGCCTGTGAAAGATTAAATGTTGTAATTACTTTAAAAACAAACTTTACTGCGAAAATATATTCTTCATCATATATGTATTTGTCTGTGTCTACTTCTAAGTTTTGCTTATAGATTTCTATTTGTTTCTAATCTACTGAATCTGATCGGAAAAGATGGCGGCCATAATAACAGCTGTCATTTTTGTTAGAATTATTGCCACTGTGAATGCAACAGCGGCGAGCAGTTGGTTACTATTGCAAATAAAGACAAGTTGATGGTTAGCATTGCTATGAAGAAATGTTAAGTACGTTTGTATACGGTGGTGACGTTAAGGTTGGTAAAGAAGAAAGCGAAAAAAGGGAAAAACCGTGACTCGGGAGAAAAAAAAAACAAAAAGAAAAAGACGGGGAAAATAGTAGAGGAGGAGGAAGAGGAGGAATGAGTTGAAGAATGAAAACAGAAATGAAAAAAGAATCAAAAGGAAAAAAAGAAAAAAATAGAAAAGGACCAAAAAAGACAATGAATGAGTTGGAAGTGAAAGAAAAATGAAAAAAGAAGATAAAGAAAGAGAAGATGATAAAGAGAAAAGTATCGACGGAAAAGAAAAGAACTAAAATATGTGAAAAGAAACATCAATTTTAAATTAAAACTCGACAGTATTAACCTTTTTGGTAATATTTAGTAGGCATAGCCTAGTGTGGCACAAGGATCGAACTTAGTACAGTAATGAGTGTCTGCATAATTAGGTTCATTCTTGTGGCTGCACGGTAAATCACCTTGATTTCCTCATCTTATATTAGTATGGCTCAAGGCCACGTATTTGGAGCACCAATTGAATATTGCACTAACTACAGTAGTAATGGATTACTAAGAAAGCTTTTTAGATATTACCCCGAGCAATGGACATATTATTTACTAAATTACTACTAATATATACTAAATGTAGTTTGGTCTGAGAAAAGGTTATATTCGTAAGAGACTCGGAAAGGATCGAACTCAGTACTCTGTGAAACAAGTTCGTTAACTGACACACTACAGTAGGCACCCTATCTTACCAGGCAAACGGAAAAGAGAGAGAAAGAAAAGGTGCCATGAAGAAAGAAAGAAAGAAAGAAAGAAAGAAAGAAAGAAAGAAAGACTGCATGAATGCAAACGGAAAGAAAGAAAGACTGCATGAAGGCAAACGGAAAGAAAGATAAGAAAGAAAGAAAGAAAGAAAGAAAGAAAGAAAGAAAGAAAGAAAAAAAAAAAAAGAAACAACAGCATGGGAGCAATCTTCATCATCTTTTATATCTATTTTTATAGATTATGATTCTAACAGAA